ACACCTTGTGGGAGAACACGCCAATGGTATCTCTTCCTTGGGGCTTCCCGGTTGATGGTAGGAACCGAAAAGGCAAAACGTGCGGCATCGTCAGGGTGAAGGGGAATTTGAAAGAAACAGTCCTTTATGTCAATAACTGCCAATTGCCAATTTTGGGGGAGCATCGTTGGGGACGGCATTCCCGGTTGGAGAGGACCCCTGTGTTCGACGACATTGTTGATTTGTTGGCCAATTGGATGCCCCCGACACCCTGGACTCGTCCAGCCACGTCTTGCAATTCCCAATGTGACGGCCATTCTCTGGAGGGAATGATCGTCACATCTGCCCCAGTATCCAAAAGCCCTTGTAATAGCTTTTGGTCCCCACCTTTTTGCAAGCTGCAGGTGATTCGTGGTTTTTCTCTGCCTAAGACCTGGGCCCAGGCTACCGCAGGTAAAGCTGTCTGTTGTCGAGGTTTTGGTAGCTCTGGGTCCCAGGTCAACTCAGGGACAGGAATGGCTTGTGCCACGACCTGTCCCTGAGGCAAAAAGGTGGGAGGGCGAATAGACTAAAGTCCGAGAGACAATTTCCCCAGGTCTGATGTTATGAGACCTGGGACAATGTTGATGTCAAATGGTGTGTATTTGGTGTCTCCGACCACGATGCACTTACATCTGATCCGACTCCAAGTACCTGTCACTTCAGGGCACACCGAGACAAGGTGGAAACTTGAGTCGCGTAGATGTAAAGACTCGGTCAGGTGCAACCTGAAAGGAGAAATTTTGGAAAATGACGTCAATATGGGTCTGGGTATAGCCTTAGTATGACAAGTTAAAGGAAAATGTGTCAAGTCCGGTGAAACTGTGGCATCAGGCAAGCTCTGTTGGGAGTCTCCCCCCTTTTTCACCCCCCCGCGGGATGTAAACGAGCCTGCCCTATTTGTGTCTTGGCGCAGGGAGGAATCGCGCTCGACTCCTAGTTTTTTTTCTGAGTGCTCCCCTGAGGTCTTTGCTTTTTCTTAAAGTCTATGAATTCCTGCCTCAGGGGACACTCTGGCATCCAGTGGCCGGTTCTTCCACACAGGTGGCAAGGATCGGTGGTCCTGCGTGGCGCCCTTGGGGTGGTTGAAGGGTGGCTAGGGGTCGAAGGAGTGGAAGCGGCAGCAACTTCCTCGGTGTCCACTAACGCAATCCTCTGAGATGGTATTTGGTGTTTGGGGTCGAGCTCCTCCGCTGGGATAGAAACTTTCCGAGTGCAAACCTCCAGCATCTGGTGTAAAGTGGGAGGCGGGTCCAGAGGCAAACTGAGGATGGCGGCTTTGCAGGCGGAGTTGGCATTTGCAGCCGCCACCTCAGTAAGAATGTCCATCCTAGCTGGTTCGCTCTGGACCTGCAACTCAATTGCCTGGCGGAGGCGCTCGACGAAAGCAACAAACGATTCGTTAGTGGACTGAATGATCTTAGAGTAGGTTATCAGAGAGATGGAAGAGGAACGCAATCTGAAAAAAGCACTTTCAGCCGCCTTGGCGCTTTCCTTCAACGCCTCCTCGGGGATGTACCACGCCTGGGAATGCCCATCCCCCCAACTCCCCGTCCCACACAGGTGGTCAGTAGATATTGTTCCCCCCTGCAGATCTGCGGCAGTGCGTGGATTTTCCCATAAAACTGGTAATAATTTGACCTCAACCCTCCCAGTAACAAGGATACCCGCAACCTGGAGGTAAAGTCTCTTCTCAGTTCCTGAGAAACATGCACCCATATTTAAGTTTTTAAAAAGACGGCAACTCAATCCACCCGCTGCCCCGAGAAAACGAGAAAGTAAAAGTGAAAAGGGGGACCTCCCACCGAGCCCTGCCGCCGGACTATGCCGGCAAAGGCCTGCGCAGTAAGAAAAAGGACCGAGCAAAGCAGTCAGGAAAGTTAAAAAGGCAGGGCAAAGAAAAAATGGAAAGGGAAAAAGGACTTACGTTCGGCGGAGGTCAAACTGAAATCCGGGGCGAGTGGCTCCTGTGGTGGGACCGACTCCGTGGGTGCTTGGAGCTGCCGATCCCAGTCCTCTGGGAGCGCCACCCACCGAAAAGGGGCCTGCTCTACCAGAAGTAGCTTGACGGCCAGAGAGGAACTTGCCAGAATCCAGTGGGTAGAGCCCAATGGTTCTGGGATCCTCGTCCGTGGGGTCCGGTGGTGGTCTCGGCCTGCCTCACGTTGGGCACCAAATGCAGCGGCGGCTGACCTTAAGGTGCGTCCCGGCTAGCTGCGTAGCCTGAAACAGAAAACAGAAAAGGAACAGAGCTTTGGAAAAGTGAGGATAAATTTGAAGTTGGGGAGAGGGAAGGCTAGCAGCTGAATCAGGTACCCTGTCAGCAAAAAGATTTAATATTTTGAAAAGGTCCACAGGCCATCATAGAGACATAGACCGGGCAAGAAAGATGTGAAGAAAGCTGGGCAGGAGATTACAGAGAATATGTTCAAGTGGTAGCTGAAAGTTGTGGTTTAGACAGATGGGCATGAAAGAAGTGCCATGTGCTAGCAGTTCATAAAAGAGTATTGCCATGCAGGAACAGAGGCTAAAAGTGCACCAGGGCAACCCACCCATATGGCTACAGGATCTCCATTCCCAGAGTGGACAAGTCAGAAATACAGTGGCTCTTTGAAGAGTTAGAATGCATTGGACCTACTGAGATCCATGATGATGTGCTCACTTAAGAGTATCCTGACCCTTCAGATTGCCTTGCAGAAGTGTCCTGAAAATTAATTGAAACCTTGGTGATTACCAGATTATGCTTTGACTAGATAAAGCTTAATAACTAGTTCTTATTTTTGCAAGGTTCATCTCTCACCAATCATATTCAAATTCTTACAAAAAGCAACAAGCATGATAAAATAAATTTTAAAAATCCCTCAGCAATATATGGAATTAATGTTCTTTATTATAAAAATCAAAATAATATTCTTATAAAGAAAAACCTACGTACCAATTTATCAAGAGTTCCTTATAATCCATTTGGCCTGCTGGAATATCATGGGAAAAACGTACAAGAAAACTCAAAAGTCTAATTTTTTATGTGTTGGAATAAATCAGCCGAGACTCCATTTTCTTCATGCAGAAAGCCAATTCTTTATTCACAAAGCTCATATTTATAGGAAATATCAGAAGGCACTGTGTTCAACCTAACTGGTCAGCAATACAGTGAAACTCAGTTGATTGGTGGGTAAGGGCTATTATATATGTCTATCAAATTTTCTCTCTCTAGATATGTTTACATTTTTCCTTTGTGGGTTCCCATGGGACAACTTCACACAAATGCATTTGTTTTTCACCATCAGAATAGATTGCTGTGTTAAACGAACTTCTTATTCTTAATATAGCTTCACATGGGAACTTGCATATTGCTTGTTAGCTGCACTTTGAAGAAATGACAGGCCAGCTTTGGCAATTTTAGCAGAGTGAGGCCTGATTTCAAAAGGCCTTTATTTTATAATCCTGCCTGTCTACAACACTTACAGAGCCCAAAAAAACTACACAGAGTTTACAATAACTTGGGGGAAATATGCTGATTTCTGCTGACTAAGCATCACCTTATATGCTAACTACTAGTATATAATTCAAACACCACAAGTGTCACAACAACTTGAATTTTTTGGATAAAATACTAGTAAGACTATGTCATACTATTTATGAATATCCTGCTATCACGATTTATCCAGACCTCTCCCAAACCCTGAGAAAGACTTTAGTGTCTTTAATGCAGTTAACAAATAGCAATGTCTTTCCTCTATCAAGGTAAATGGTTTTTGTCCCTCCACTATGCCAGCTAACACCATTCTCAACCAGCTAATCTTGCAGACGGCCAAATACCTCCTACCATACATGTTTTTAAGACTAGTTATATTTTTCAAGAATATGTTTTGTGCTGGGACTGAGCAAGCTTGTAGCAAAGGAGTAAAATACAGCATATTTGTGAATACAGCTTCAAAGAAATTTTCAGAAACCTGTTTATTAATGGTCATGGGTTTTTTTCAGAAAAACTGTGTTCCAAAGAGCAGAAAACAGAACATTAAAATAAAAGAAATACTGAAGGCCACGACATATGCTAGTGTGTCTTTGTCTCCTCATGGCCTTTTGCTATTTTTAGACAATTCAAGAACATTGTGTGGAAGGATTAGCGTTTTTATGTAACTTAATCAATTATCAAAATATTTCTGTTTTGTAATCACGATCTAATTACTAAAAATAGCCAAGCAGTGAAAGATCAGGCTTTATTACAACCTGACATTTGTAATCTGGACAGGAATTCAATTCAGTGAGCGATGCTCTTTTCCTCCCCACAGATACCATACAATCTATCAACAGCATACAGCAAATCTCTGCTGAATGAAAGACACAACTTTGAGTCTGTCATCTGTCTGCAACAAACAATTTAAACTCTTAGGAAAAGGACAAAAACTCTAGGAAGATTACACTGTAACATTTTTCAACCACAGCTTTCACAGTACTTTGCTGTAACACAACACAGTTTTTACCTCAGCTGACTTGTGGCTCCCCATGAGCTTCATGAAACAGCTGTATTTGCTGCAATATATATATATATATATATATATATATATATATATATATATGCACTGCAGCTGCATCTACGCAATATATAATTGCATCTTAAACGTTAGCTAAGTCACAGAAATATCCAATATAAGAATTAGGATTCATTTATCTTAAAAAAATTGTAGTGGTAAATAATTATGTATGAAAACTGTGGCAACTCTAGAACAAAGCCATTCTGTTCACACAATGGGGAATGGGACTGCTTCAGGTTGCCTCAGTAGTTTTAACACAGACCTCCTTCCAGTGAGCAGGACTGTTCTTCTGAGACCCGATGACAAGAAATCTTCACTGGATAATTTAAAGAAGGATCTCTCAGAAGACCAGAAGTCGGGTTGAGTTGGAAAACTGATATTAAAGATTAGACCAAGTCTTTCATCAACAGCTTGTTTTTACTGACAGCAGCTAGACAGACGAAGCAAATGGCAGCCTTTACTAAACCCCGCGGCAGTGACCGCCCGCGGTACCGCACCGCGGCCCCGCTGCCTCCCGCCTCCTGGCCGGCACCCGGCACCGCCGAGCCGGGGAGCCGGCGGGCCACGGGCCGTCCCGGGCGGGGCCACGGGCGGCCGGAACTCCCTTCGCCTCCTCCCTGTTCCTGGAGCGTGGATCCTCCTCATTGGCCGAGGGCGCTGTCGCCCCAGCCCGCTCCAAGGCGCCGCTGCCCGCGTCCCTCACGGCTGTCCCTCACGGCCGCCCCTCTCCGCCCTCGTCGCCCCTTCGCTGCTCCTCCCTCATGCCATATCCCTCACCTCTCAGCCTCCAGGACTTTCTTCTCCTCCCCACCTTTGCCAGCCACTCCCACCGTTCATCTCCATATTCGCTCTTTTGCACCTGTTTCCTCTGCCCCTCCTTCTCCTTCCCAAATACCACCTCGATGCCTCCACGTTCCGGTAAAGCAGCTGCTCTCTCTCAATCCCTGCCTCGCCTCACGCCCTGCCGGCGCTCCTGGCCGATCCCACTCGTGCTATCCAGCCTTTCCCTCGTCCTTTTGCGCTAACAAAATGCTTTTTCAGATATCATGAACCGCCTGTGCGGGCAACTGTAGCAGCAGTAAACGATGGGGGTTTGTGTGTAGTCTCGATGTGCTTTACTCAGGTTTTTAGTTTGTATATCCTGCACATGGTTTCCAGCTTTTTAGATAATGCTGAAGTGTGTTGAAGCGCAGGTGGGCGATATCTGTGCTTGTTTACATTTCTTTCTCTTGTTTAGTCTACTACCGTCCTCTTTGTTATTGTCTTTGATATCAATGTTCTTCATAGCCCATACTCCTGCGGGTTTTTTTTTCTGTCCTACGTATTTTGTGGTTTGCTAAACCATACGGGTATGAGATGTGGTTTCCTCTCTTTGCACACATCAAGGGGCTTCATAAATCACCAGTGTTAAGAAGTGCTGGGGTTTTTGGGAAGACAGTCGTATTTTTGCATAGGTGGCTGCATTTAAGTCTGGGAGTGCTTTGGGATCTTTTTAAAAACTGAACTGAAACAAACGTGTAAAGCAGCAGCTGAGGGGCGCCCTGTTGGCTTACCTGCATGGTTTGCTCTTGGCAGCTGAATTTCTTCCTCCTTGTCAGGCTCCCTGAGGTTATTTGGCAGATTGATTATAGGCTGCCATGACTTAGGTGTGATCAGGGGAGCAGAAAACACACGGGTGTAAGGAAAGGAGCAGGGTTTGAACTGGAGTAGTTTGTTACTTGATGGCTGCAGTACAATTACTGTTGTGTCTCTTCAGCACAGTGCAGTCAAATACATAGTGTTACTGTAATGGACAGTGCTGTCACGATATACATTTTCTCTGATTTTCCTAAATTTTGATTTTTTTCCCCTCATAAAACCTCATGGAAGACATCTGTAGTTGTGAATAAGACTACAGTGGTGCAAAGCTGCAAGCAGTTTTGTCCCGTGCCACTTCTCTGTAAGAGGCATCAGTGTGATGTTGAGCACTAAGGCTGAGCCCATGTTTGTCTGTGAGCAGATGAGATTGTTTGCCTGTGAGAACATCTGTTGAGCATCTCTGCTGCACAGCTAATAACCAGATCTGTCAATTTCTCAGTGCCAAGAGCATTTCCAAGGGAAAACCGGGCTTAGCCAGAAAAATCCCTGGCTGCTGAATTACACCCTAGGACCTAGGCATGTCAAAGTAAGAGCTTTATGTGCCTAAAGCTGCTTGCTCTTTCTGAGATGAGGGAACAAATGTACAATAAACTTATTTTTAGCCTAGTTATTTATCTCTTGTAATATCATACTTCCCCCCCCCTTTTTTTTGACTATCTGATCCAGTTGTTGTTATAGTTCCTAAAATTATGGAAATAGACGGATCACAATTCAGTGAGAACACTGGCATGTTGCTGAATTTTGTTTCCTTTCTTCCTGCCTATCCCTAAAAAGAAAAAAATACTCTGAATCTGTTCATACTCCTTTATTATTTCAGGCTCCTTTTAGTCTCAAATGCTGTAGATACCCAAAGAGTTGTTTAATTCAAATTGTGTATACTTTGGCATGCTATTGAAAGTCTTTTGTCATTGATCTACTTTTTTCCTCTAAACCATTAAAAAGAGCAAATATGAATTACTGCTGCAGAATTCACCACTATTTGTGTTTCTAGGGTGTGGATTTTATTTGCTTGCCTCATTATCAAAAACACTGGAGTCTTCAGTCTCTTTTTTTTCAGATGTATAAAGATAAATGTCTGTTATAATTTATTTTTCTGAAAACCTTACATTGAGCAATTTTAAAAAATCATTTTGATATCATCTAAGAACTTATTATGCCCTGGAAGGTATTGGGAGAGCTCCCTTTTTGGCTGTCTCTAGGCTGGGTCAGCTACCTGTGGGCAGGGTGGCAGTAACATGATGAGAGTTGATAGGATTGTAAGGAAAGATCTGGAAATAAACTAATGCTGCAGTTACTAAGGCATAAATCTTGTGGAGAGGCAGTGCTTGTTAGTTAAGTCCACTAGCACAGGGAAAAGGACTGAGATTTTGGGTATACGTTTGCCCTCTTGAATTTTTCACTGTAAGTCTGAAGACTGGCTTATGGGCTTAAAATTTTTCCTTCCTCTCTATTATAGGCCACTGTCTTAAAGCCTTTTTCTTCACAGCTAATCCAAGATGCTGCCTCTTTTCAAACGCTGCCTGCTTCTATGTCCATAGTGGCCAAACCAGTACTAACACTGCGAGCCGCGTGACAGCCCTTAATCAGTTTGCTTTGGAAGGCGCTTGTCATCCATCTCTTTAAAGATCACTAAATACCTGGCACGGTCACCGGTTCTGCGGAGCAGCACGTCGGGGTGGCGCTGCCATGCCCGGGAGCCCACGCGCCTGCGGGACCGGCTGCGAGGCTGTGCAGGGAGCGCAGCGAGCGGCGTGGGGCCGCACTCCCTGCGGCTCCGGAGGCTCGGCTCCCCGGCCGGGCCCGGCTCCCGCCCCGTCCATGCACGCCTGCTCCCGCCCCGGGCCGCGGCGGCCGGCGCATGCCCGGGGGGCTGCGAGCATGCGCGCAGGGGCGGGCGGAGCGCTCCGCCG